CTGCAGCCCTATCAAAATAATTAAGCATAACCTTAAAACTCACCAAAAATTGAAGTTTATTCAAGTAGTGAATTAGTTAAAGGGTATGGTGCCTCAATAAGAGGTTCACGTATAAAAAATTTCAAAACAAAAAAAAAAGAAAATTGTATTTTTGGCATCGAAAAACTTTCAAATTGATCATATTGGTTTTAACTATTATGGTTGTAAAAAAAATTATTAGGATTTCAAGCTCTAAACATAGTGTATATTGTAACAACTTATCTAGACCGTCCATTTTGCCCTAAAATAAGTATTCATGGATCGGCAAGACATATAGTATTTTTTAGCTTCAAATTTCACAGGCAGTGTTAGAAATTGAGCTTAAAACCATCATGGAGATTTCCAATGGCCAAAGTGCTTTCTAGACGAAAATTCGAGATGACGCTTTATTTTGTTTTCATAAAACCTAGGCAATCTAAAATCCTCGATCTCTCACCCACACGAACATATTAGATTTTTTGAGATCCGAGACAGATTTCAAAATTTAAAGCCCTGGACCTCCCTCAACCAAACTGATATGTTTGCCACTGAACTGATGACAAGAAAATTTGTCATCTCGGAACATGATTGAATCCCATGACCAGAATTGGTAATTGGGGATCGTAGCATTAGAAGAGGAATCTTATTTATGAAGCCGTTTTGGCCACATCTAACGGTCCAGTCAAGCCCCCTTTTAGGGCAAAAGACTTAGAATGGGATCAATTTTAGAACTGGAAAATGGTTTGATAGAGCTACAGCTCTATTAGAATCAGTAAAACCTCACTCATTGAAAATTACAATTCAAGCAATGGAGAACGTTTACATTGATCATCTCAGCTTGAACATTACGGTTGTGAAAAAAAATTAAGATTTTAAGCTTTGAAAATATTGTATATTGTAACAAATTATCTAGACCGTCTATTTGACCTTAAAAATAAGTATTCACAGATCCACAAGATCTGCTCCATTATTTTTATTGTCGTTGTTGGAAATTTATAAATCCATCGTGGAGATTTCCGTCGCCAAAAGTGCTTTCTAGATGAGGTTATGATGTAAAGCTTTATTTTGTTTTTATAAAGACTAGCCATAATAGAAGCTTCATCCTTTAGAAATTGAGTTCTTGACCACTTCGATGACGAGTATCTAAAACGAAACAAAATAAAAAAGAATTTTTGAGTTTCTAACCCGTACATTGGATTGCTCAAAATTGGTTGGCTACTATTAAATCTCAAGAAATTAATATTTCTTAGGCTAATATATTGTGCATATAACATTACTCTCTTTCCTTCTTTTCCTTTTGAGGTTGTTTACCGGGTTAAGAATGTTACCTCCCTTGAACTTACGGTCCTAAAATATACTCCTGGGTTTGTTCTAAAATATACTCCTAGACATGGGTTTTACTGATATGCTATTTATTGGAGCATATTATAATGGAAAGGGTGAGGCATGTATAAATTATGGGGTGAAATATGCTCATCCTATGAAAAAGCCAGGGTCGCGGTAATAGCATCCCCACACTTAGTTACCACATCACGGTATCCATTCCTATTGCTCACACCCCCAATTTAACACCTTCAAAATATAAACCCTCCCCCCTAATCTATTAAAAAACCGGATAATAGCCTACCCTGTCTTCAAAAAAAAAAAAATCATCGTTCTTGGGGATCCATCTCACTTGTTTCCTATATTGTTCTATAGGTCATTCGGCTCACAAAATCTCCAATCCATTCAATTTTAATTGAGGTTCGGAGACAAATTCAAATCACAATTGAACTGCTTTGAATGCCTAATCATGCCCTTCCTCAAACACCTAAGAACATTACTCGAGGACAAGAAAAGAACCTTTATTGCCTATCCTCATAGGTCAGAGAATATCACCCACACAAAGTACAACTTTTACCAGGTATACAATTTTCCGTTAGTGATAAATTGAAGTCCAAGAAAACCTGCCATTCTACATCCATCCATCTATACAATTTCCAGAGAGACAAAGAGGTACTTAAACTGTCAAAGGTCCTTAAAAGCACATAACAAGAGGTGAAAGATAACCTAAGAACCAGCCTTGCTATGTATGCATTGGTTAGATTAATTACTCAACATATATATAGCTTTCTTTTTTTTTGAGTTTGAAACATATATATAGCTTTCAAAGCGAAAATTTTGAATTCCTCAAATACCCTAGCATCCTTATGATCAGTCAGCCTCTAGTTCTGCACCAAACTGCTCTAATCGAGCAACATCATCATCAAGATCACGAACTTGTGCATGGTTGACAGAGCCATCATCTTCACTGGCATGTATCTGCTTGCCACCAAACCTAGACCAGAGAAGAACATGAAGTGAAAGATAAGAATGCAATGTACAAAGCAAATTGACTACCTCCAAGAATATGAAAACATTTTTAAAGAGTGTCGATATATGTAACTAGTTCCAAAATACGAAGACACAGAAAAACAGCGTCTTTCATCAAAATCCAATATAGGAAAATAAAGGGGAAGGCATCATGACCTATAGGCTATAGCTGCTATACAATCATCCAGCATCCATTCTCAGGATGTGTTGCCGGGATGGACAGTAGTATTGCGTCTTCACCATGGATAAAATTTCCATTCAACTTTTTAAAAGAAAGGACATGGCGCCCATAATCCTATCTAATCCAATTCAACAAGACCAGAAACAGTTTTCTAGACAAATGGATGGCAAGACCAACTGCACCCTAAAAAATTTTAAGATGTCAACAAAAAAACTGTGAAGAAAAATAGCAATAGACAATGGGTGGAGACCCCATCCAGATGTGAAAAACTAGTTGGGCAAAATTTGTAACAGTTATATGCCAATGTGAGATCCCAAAGCTATGATGTTACCCATAGAGATATTGTCCTTGTGGCTACATAGGAAAAACCATCCTTCCAAGGAGAAAGGAGGTCTCACTCATGAAAGATCTAGATGCTCAAAATGCCAAACACTCACAAGAATCATACCACTAGTTCACGGATTCTATAATATAACCCCTTTTCTTTTGAGAATGTACCAGAGGTCCCCGTTAAACTGGCTAAAGACATTTCAATGGGTTTCTTGGATCTTCAACAGTTCAATGCAAAAAGGAAAAGCTAGTTTTTTACCCAAAGTGGTCAAATTAAACAGTTTGGTCCAGCCTCCTTGACATTGGTTTATTCAGACAATGCCAATAAAAATTATTTCAATCTATTAGAATCCTAAAGACTTTTCCTTTTTACTTTTTTTCCTTTTGATGAACAATAATTACTGAAACAATAAGGGGGGATATCATTCCTATGACAGAAACAAGAAGGGGGGATGTCATTCCTATGACTAGACAAATAGACAAACAAGTGCTCTTGACATAAACATTTTAGTGACAAGCCTACAACTGATCACACAAATTACTCTCCACATCATGAATAAACATCTCATTGAGCTTCCTAATACTAGTTCCTTTTTTTCTTTCTTGAGCATCCTTACAATAATAATTCACGAGCATTAGAAATTTTACCATCTTCCATTCATCAGCTCTATACACTTTAATCCATCCTTTCTATCTTTGAATTTCACCAACACAACACCTTGTGGATGATTCTCACATATCTGCAGTTCAATGCCAACATTCAAGTATTAATAACATGCACTGGGAGCAACAAGAATTTCAAACACAGAGCAAACACAAGACAATGAACTCTGGTAAAAACAACTTAGAATTCAAGACAATACAAAACTCAGAAAATGACTAATACAATAAATACAACAAATCCAGATGAATAGAGTTTCTGATGACTCTTGATACGCCCACAACACATTTAAATATTCTGATGGCTCTTGATGAACAAACTCCTCCCCGCAATAAATTGGAATTAAGCACCGTCAATTAAGAATACATTTAAAAGACATAAAAGTTTACATATCGGTCAAGTAATAAGATCCATTGAATCAAGTAACCAATTTCCACTTACCTTAACTGATTCTACTGGACCAAGCTTGCTACATTCCTCAAAAACATCTAACTCCAGTTCTGGTAGAAGGCTTGGATCAGACTGCATAGAAGATACGCCACCGACCAAAGTCATGATACCAATGCTCAAAGAAGCTTCAGAAAAAATTATACCATGTCACTGATTGAAGACGAGTCCTAGAATCTAGATAATTTTTAACCAAAGATGCAATCAATCAGACAAATAAGAAATAAGAAACATCAAACTTTCCTTCCCATTTTACCCCACAGCAAAAAGAAACAGGAAAAAAGATGTACGTCAACTTGGAAGTTGCCATAGACAACTTGCCTCAGGTCAATACCAAGTCCTGAACACAGAATCAAAGTCTCACTGATGCAACTCAGATTGGGCCATATGTTCTTTTTTTCTTCTTTTCATAATTTTCCAAAGTGTATTCAAATACTTCAAAAACCAAAAACCTATTTTTAGGCACATCAAATAAGGGAGTAAGGCCAGTTACCCTCAGTTCAGCAGGTGTAAACATATGCCTCAATACAATAGTAAGAGGAATCAGCAACTTCTTATCATCATGGCCACCTGAAGCTCATAAAACCAAATATTAACACAATAAAGAGTTAATATGATGTTCTAGATGGCACTCAATGCCAAAAGCATATCTGCTGACAAAAATAAGGCAACATTCAAGTTCAAGAACATAAAACAAGAAGAAAAGGAAGAACATGAATTCGTCAAAAAGTAAACAAGGCAGCACCACATTTTCTTAGCTCAATAAACCACTCAAGGACGGCAGAGCTTCATTCCTCCTTAACTATTTCCCACAAAGGCCAGTCGGAGATCTACAACACATTTACAGGGATTGTATACAATGAGACCGTTTACCTTTGATACAAGGAGGTCATAATTACTTATAATCATCCGATGTGAAATCTGATAGCTTGGATATGTCACAAAATTCAAGAAATTTCCTTTTGAACTTTGAGCTTGCTCAATGCAAAAAATGTAGGCATCCAATTTCACATCCAATAGTCAAGATCAATTGTGACCACCTTGTAATCAAGGTAAATGGTCGCATTGTATATTTTTCCTTAAAAAAGAGATACGTTTTTTTTTGGGTAAGTAAAAAAGAGATACTTAAACACATGACACTGATGAAGAAACTTACCCCAGCCAAGAATCTTTTCTTGAACCCTTTGAAGTTTCTTCTTCTTCCTCTTATCTTGTTGTTTGGTTATAAACTTGTCCCCTGCATAAAACATATAGAGAATGATAACTGGCAAACTACCGAGCCCTTTTTGCTTGAAGAATATTCCCAACATTTTAAATTAGGTACCATTACAGGTATTCCCCATTAAGCAAGTAAACTTGATATGGGAAAGCAATACATGATACCTTAAAACAGTTCAGAGATGGGAAAATAATATCCCCACCCCGAGACCATAATGACCCCTATAAGAAACCTCCGACCCTTGGGGGGTACCCAACACATCGTTTTTATTTAATTTTGGACCAAAATATATTTTACATATTACTATAATTGTTTTAAAAGAAAATGGCCATAATCTCTCTCTGTCTATGTATACCTGTATCTCTTTCTTACTGGGTTCGGCACTCTCGTCTCTCTTTCTCTTCTATAAATTGCTCCATTGCTATATCTCAAACCTCTCTAGATGTCATCTCATCCTGGGGTAGACTTAAACATGAGAACGAATAGTGGGTTATGCTTGAGTTCACATAACAACAGAGAATCAAAACAAGAGAAGAGAAGGCCAGCAAGTGAAAAAATCACCAGACAGCACTAAGATCAGAGAATTTCAATAAAAAAAGGAGGAAAATTCACACAAAGTACCTGGGTTTAGAGGATTTACGGGGAAAAACATTCCTCAAGCGATTTCAGCAATAAGAAGCTCGCATTTTCAGCAGAAATTGCTTCTGCAAAGTCCACTAAGTATTGAGCAGATTTGGCCCAATGATGCGAGCTTTTCAGCAGTGAATAGACCTATTTCTAGTCTGCTGTTGGTCACTTTTTCAACAGCAGATAGCCTCAGATTGACAAGAGGTTCCAGGAAAAACTTAAACACATACAAGATAGGGAGATGTGTGGGTTTGAAAACCCCCTTTCAGTTCTTTCTCTCACTGCATTTAGTGAGTTTCTACAAACTTCAAACACACTAGCAAAACTAAGTGGATTTCTCTAGTTTTGAATCCCAAATCAAACCCACTGACAAAAGGACTTGTTCAACAACAGTGATGGCCTTGAGCTTTGATATGTTTCTCACGCTCTAAAATCATGAGGATAGGAAGACGAATGATATTAATATACTGCTCTCTCTTGAAATGGGATCATATCAAAGTTTGGAAGGGGACCTTATCAAACCTATAAATCCATTCCCTCTCTAACTTTGAATAATAAGAAGATAAAATGGGAAGGATTGCTGGGTTCATGGAACTTTCTCTTAGGGCTGGTAACGGGCCAGGCCTGGCCATAGCCTGACCCTAACTCCTATAGGACCAAGCCTGAGCCTGGCCCGGTCTAGATTGGGCTGAAGAGGCCCTGGCCCAGGATGGGCACATAAAATATTAAAAAAAAAAAGTTAAAAAAGGGGTTATGCCGGGGCGGACCGAACCGCCCATGGCCCACCCAAGGGCCACATTCTGTAGCCCAAGCCCATTGCCTGCCCTAGTTTTTTTCTATAGATTGAGAGAAACATGGGAAGATTATTGACTGAAACGTAAAACATTGGATTTTTGTTGTTACCACCAAAAGGCTGGGTTGCTTGTAGGGCCAGTTATGGTTTGGGGGTGGGGAGTTTGTTGAGAAAAAATTAACATTAGGTTTTTGTTGTTACCGCCAAAAGGATTGGAGGTTCCTTGTAGAGCTGCTTATGTTCTGGGGTGGGATGTACTGTCCCCTTTGAAGATTGAACATATATACTACGCTACAAACCAGAAACCAAGTGTGGTAAATGACAATTGACGATTTACCTTTTTGCTCAAACTTTGCTTGACTGACAGACATACAAATTTTCCCACCAGGACGCAAAGGAGTTCCATCCAATATTTGAATGGCCAAACCAACAGATGGCTCCTGGTAATTGCAGAAAGAACAAAAAAAAAAAATTAAAAAAAATAATCATCATTTTAAGACACCAGTTGTAAATGTGTTAGAAAAACATCATATAGAAAGAGAATACCTTCAAGTAAGACACCAATGCATCTCCTTTCTGTTTACCAGTTTCTTTGTCGACATAGATCTTGACACGAGGCTTTCTGGTATCAGGATCCTAAATATAAAGAGAAGAATACCACCATCGTGAGAAAACATCCAGTTCTTAACATTACATATCAAGTATGTACAGCCTCGAATGTATATAATTCCTCACCTCCTTTACGACACCACACTTGGAAAAGACCTCCACTAACTGCCAGCGTTGACCACACATCAGTACTGATGCAACTCAAGAAAGTACTAAATTCAACACTCACAAAAATAAAGGAAAGTATAAAAATTTAGCCATATATACGCTGCAGACAACCATCGGTAGTTCATAGGCAAGAAATAAAAATAAAAACCACCTTGTCTCAGAAAAGAGCATCTTCTTTTAACCTTAGCAGTATTTATTTCACAAAACACCATTAGTACATTAGAAAGAAGCAATTTCAAGTATGCCACACACTGACTGATTGGTGAAACATAAGAAGGAAAAAGGAGTGAGGAATATGCTAAATTTTCAGAACTCATAAGACCATGAATCGAAATAATAGTGCATCAATGAGCAGTCAAGAAAGCTAAAACAGCCCCAAAATCTCACCCCATGCGCACTTAAGAAGCAGAAACTGAGAGCTCCTCAAAAATCCAAGTTGCAGATGCAATGAATACAAGGTAAGCATATGACGCACATCAAGTATATGATTCAAAACAAACATATGATTCACCCACTGTCCATTTAGATGAACAGTGGAAATGAACCATATTTCAGGGGAGATGCCCATCATTGGGACTCAGTTCCTCTCCACCAAGTGTTTTGCCATGGACGGTGAATGCCCATGTTTTCTCTTAGAATATCTCTCACTTTTCACAAGGTTCCAGGGGACAAAATACAAGCAGGAAATATATTGAAAAACTAATAGCCAGACTCACCTCCTCAGCAGTTACATCATCTGGCAATCCAGTCACATAGACATGGGTATTGACTTTCAAGTCAAACCAACTGTCAGGAGGTTTATTAGCTTCCTGTTACAGAAAAGTTATTTGAGTATATCAGCACCACCCGTGAATGGCAATTCAATTAGCAGTACACTTTGAGCCTAAAATTTCAAACATAAGAAAACATCTGTTCATATTTGTATATTAGTTATCTACTTTGACTAAATTTTTCTTAGAAAGCTTTCATTAGACAAAAACAAAACTCCTCAGCAGTTACATCATCTGGCAATCGAGTCACATAGACATGGTTATTGACTTTCAAGGCAAACCAACTGTCAGGAGATTTATTAGCTTCCTATTACAGAAAAGCTATTTGAGTATATCAGCACCACCCATGAATGGAAACTCAATTAGCAGTACATTTTCAATATGTACTACAATAGCCAGGTATGGAAATAACGAGTTTTTTTTCTTTTCTTTTTTTTTTTGTCATTGACATTTAAAAAAAAAAGGTTTTCTTGCAAAAGGAAAAACAGAACCCAAGTAGAATGAGAATCAGGCATGCAATAAACTTGCTTGAAATTTACACAGAACCAAAAAAGGGAAATTAAACAAAAAAATACCTTGTATTCGCCAAAAAAAGATTTACCTTTTTATCACTGATTGTATCTGGCTCTTTCCTTTTCTTTTCAGAGTCTGTCTCTACATTCTCACCATCAGTATTACCTTCCTTTTTTTTGGGTAAGTCAGCATTACCTTCCTTCCCTTCAGAAACATCTGGATCCTTTAAAATTGGAAAGACCTCCTGCTCCTGAACATAAGTCATCTCATCCAAGCCATAGTGTTCCCTATTAGAATGTGAATCATCCTATCATAAGACATAGAAGATGAGTAAGATTCCAATAATTCTTCACAATATGCTAATAAGAGGGTTGGGATTGTTGGAGGTAACAAACAAAACATCTCAGATGCTAACAAGATAAGAAAGTCTACTCGCTAAAATGAAAATTATAAAAAAGCACATGACTCCAAGTGGTAAATGTATTAATAAGAGAAGTCATTTTCAAAAACTTATTATGTGAATGTGTACAAGTGAAGAATGGCCTCTTAACAGAGAAGAAACTCAGTAATGAACAACCCAGAAGAAACAAGAGTAGCTTAAAAGTGCCAAACAGAGAAGAAGAACACGAATCAAATAATAAACGACTCACATATTAAATCTCAAAAGGAAAGGCAAACTTGCTTAAAAAAAGTCGTCCCAAGTGAAACAACCAATACAGCTTCCTATCTACAAAGATGCATAAACGTTTATGCCCAATTCCATTTTGTTAAAACATAAATAGAAAAATACAACACTTAGGTTTTAGAGCTTATCATCAGATTGCTCCTACACTGTCACGCTTTGGCACAATACAAGAAACATCCAGTAGATATGGAAACATTTTAATAATATTATGAATCATATCCTATGCCTAATCACGGCTAGCCACATCAAAATCAGTCCATGTGAAGAGGAAAATTAGGCAGACAAGGGAAAAGGCCAAAAGGAAGAAACGTAACAAAAACTAAGGAAGAAATAAAATCATGACATAGAGAGAAAAATGCTACAAATAAAACGAAAAACTTTTTATGTGTTCCACTTCCATGGAATCAATACCTATTAGCCAGGAGAAATTGCTTCAATTGCATGATCTATAGCACTTTTGAATATCTAGTTCATATTTAAATGAGATTTATGCCAATTATAACTTCTAAACTGTAGTGCTGCAACTTCGCAGCCTGGAGCTGGGAAATCTAACTCAAGTATTAACGATGTGGTTACTAACATAGAATACAAAACCAAAGTCAAGAAAGATTCAAAAGGGAAGGGCATTGTTTAATGGGTGCAGTTTGTATAGAGCTGAGGCTCTAAACAATCAAAGTAAAGCGCACCTTCAAATAGGGTCGAGAAATGTTGTTTCAATACTGGAAATCTTTGTCATAATAGCCTTAGAATATATTTTCATCTTCAATTATAAAATTTAAAGCTTCAAAAATAGTGTAGATCGAGCAGATCTATGAAAACTTGAAAAACTTGAAAATCTTGAAAATTAACAGTCCAAAAACAAGTTACAAGAAGCACTATTTCCAAATTTTGACATCCATTTTTTTCTCATGTCCATGCATCTTGATGTTGAGATGATCAATTGAAGGATATTTGAGCATCAAAACAACCTCTTCTAGTGAAACTGTTTAAGTGGGCTCTAATTTGCTTGTTTAGAGCCTCAGCTCTATATAAACTTTTTCCATGTTGGATTCACCATTATATATAGTCATGTCAATAATTCAGAGACTTTACTCAATACTGAGCATAAACTCACTTTTAGCTGTGTAATGCAAGTGCAATCAAGAAGAATAAGCAAAAAAGCAAAAGGCTGAAAAGCAAATTTTCATATTAAAAAAATGCGAGACAGGGAGGAGAGAGCCAAGCAAGAGAGTCAGAGAGAGAGAGAGACCCGGAGGGAAGGGGGTAGCCCAACATATATGGATGTGAATACAAATACTCACTTGTGGAACCCATGCTCGGAGAGAACGATCCCACTTATAAGTAGTTCCATCATCATCAGTAAATTCATCCTCGCCATCTGGTGGAGAGGAAGGCCTATCATCAGCACCCCCTGCAACAAATGGATCCTCTTTCAAATTCTCAGCTTCAGCCTCTGCTTCTGCAACCTCCTTCTTCCATTGAAGGAAATCATCTTTAGCACCAAAAGTTGACTCTGCATGGTAACTCATACAGTCAATGAAATAATGTTTTTGAAGAAAAGGGGAGAAAGAGAGAGAGAGAGGGAGAGAGATTATCTTTTGATAACTGTGAGAGATAGAGCTTAGAATTTGTAATTGATATTTGTCATGTACCCATATACCTGAAACTGAATTATCATAATGTTGACTTTGCCCACCTAACTCCTCTATCCTTGCAGACATAGCACTTACTAGCTCATGAATTGAAGATAATGGAAGCCAATCACTTCTCCCTTCAGACCATAACAATGTATTTTCTGTGATATACCCGTTTAAGTAATGTTCTGAAAAAATTAAAATAAGCAACAGATTAATAAATAACCCGTAAAAAAAAATTAATTATCACAGAAAAAAGGAATAAATAATAACCGACTAAAGAGTAAGGCTCAGAATTCTGCTCTCCAAACAATGCCAAAAACCACACGTTAAATAAACCTTCAGCAGAGAATGCAAGAAAGAAATTGTCTACCAAGTCAATTAAGAAATGATAGGAAAGAAAGGAAGAATGAATCACAAATAATACAGAGAAGCAGCTACCAAGTGTCCCAGAGTTCCACATCAGGTGTTGACAAAGTGAAATATAAAAAATATTCTCTATTGCGATTATTCAATAAATGTCCATCAAACAAATAAGAAAAATATCAAACCCAATTAGAAAAAAAAAAAAATTGCATTAAAGTGATACTTAACCTTGCAACTCTGATAAGGCATAAGGCCCAACATGTTCCTGATTCTCCCCAAGTATATACCAACCAACTTCAGTAACAGTATTAGAATCAGAACCCTGAGCACCAACCGTGCCTACAAAAAATAACAATAAAATTTACACATCAAATTCAAGAATTATTTCTTGTCATTCTATGCCATAGTTTCACACACTCACATTTAATTTTCGTATCCACCACGTATTCAATAATGCACCAACATTTCACATGTTTTCTTCTCATTTCCCTTTCATTTATACGCCAGAAAAGGAATTTTTTATCCTAATCACGTGGTTTAAGCCAAGGTGTGATGATCTACATATAAGCCAATTTATGAGGATGCAAGCCATATTGAACTCTGACAACTCCTTATTCCGCTTGAAAATAATGGTACAGCACAAAATCAATCGAATTTAGAAAATGAAAACTTTGCATACCAAACAAACTAAAAGAACATTATATCCACTTCCATAGAATTACATCTAATAGCTATTCAATAAAAAATGGAATTATTGATATCTACACACTGCTCATATCCGACAAAATTCATGGAAGTGTGGAATTAATTGGGAAGGAACTCAAATTTAGGGCAAAAAACCCCAAAATATAAAAACTTAGAAAACCCAACAAAAATAAGAAAATGGTATCTCCAGTTCCATGGTACCACATCCAGCACCCCTTCAATAAAAAAAATGGAATGATTGCTACCGCTACCAGAGCTCATATATAAGAAACTTCCACACAATGTGGAACTAACTTCTACAAAACCAAAAACTACCGGAAAAACCCCAGAAACCAAATTTAGCGCAAAATAGAGAGAATCAAAACATACCTGATTCCATGATAGGCAGAGAAGCTCTCGATTCCATGATAGGCAGAGAAGCTCTCGATTCTCAGGGGAAAAACCAGAGGAAAACTATTGGCAAGGCGAAAAAACAAAGACTTGTAGTCGTGAGGAACTTCACACTAAAAACCCTAACGCTAACTAGGGTTCAGCAATCGAAATGGAGAGGGAAGAGAGAGAAAACAGAGAAAGATGAGTGCTGTTTTGAACCATGGTACAAGAGAGGATGGTAAAAACTTCGAAATTAGAGAGATATGAATGAAATTTTGAAGTAAAGAGAGGGTAGTTTGGTCTGGAAAATATGGGAATTTTCGCACACCATGATCCTCATGACCATCGCAAGTGGATATAAAATCTGCGGTGGTGATGACAAAATGTGTACTCTTCATTTTCATAACCGTCCAATCAATGGATCGATGGTGATGTAAGGGACCATAAACTCAAATTTCGATGGCAGCTCTGATAGTAATATTGTATATCTGGAATTGGACCTTTGGTTAGAGACCATTTTAGGTAGGGTGTGGTTTATAAAAAGCTGAGGCTCCAAGGTGTGCCTTAAATAATATCAAAATAAGTTATTTTAGTATTAAAAATCTTTATGTGGCTTGAAATTTTATTTTCATTTTTAGTTATAAAATTTAAATATTCAAAAATAATGTGAATTGAACATATTTATGAACAGCTTAACATATTGAAAATTGACGGTCGAGATAATACATTATAAAATATATTATTTCAAATACCTGAAATCTATTTTTCCTTATGTTCATACATCTTGAAGTAGAAATTATCGAATTGAGGGTTTTTCAACATTGAAATAAGCTCTTCTAGTGAATTTTTAAAGTGTGCCTTAATTTAATTATTTATGGCCTTACCCTTACATAAACTCTTAGAATATTGGAAAAGTTTATATTAGTGTGAACCCTATAATGTAAGTGTAAGGTGCACCTCAAAAATGCACCTAAAATGGTCGCTCTGATGATGAAAAACCTCCCAATTGATCATTTCAACCTCAAGATGTATAGATATGAAAATAAAAAAATTTCAAGTCCTAAAAATTATATATCTTCAAATGCATTATCTATATTGTCTATTTTCAACAAAATTAAGTGTTAATCTCGACCTCGAGATCTACACTATTAATTAGCTTTAATTTCATAATTAGGAGTGAAATTACATATTTTAGTAAGATTTAAAAGTACATAGTACTTTAATTATTTAAAGTTGACACCTTATACAAATCATACTCTTAGATTATTTATTCGAGACCACGTGGATCAACTACAATTAATGAGGCAAAAAATTAGAGCATATTAATAACATAAATATATTAATATGTAATATATATACCATAATATAATATGTAATATAACGTATTTTATATTTATTTTTATTAATGTATATTTGTCCAACCCCTAAAAAGAAAGTAGATTCGTTATAAAATATAAGGAAAATATTGAGATCGGCTCACTAGCTCATATGAACATATGAGTCCAACGGTCCAAACTGAATCTGGGCCGATCTGACGGCCACAACCTCATTTTCTATTTTAATTTTAATTTTTTTTCTATGAATCCAAATTAATTAAAATTTTAAATGTGTATTCTTCAAAAATAGGATAATCTAATAAATATATCAAAAAAATAATTTGTATTAAATAAATTGACCAAAATACCTCTGAAAAGCTTCGAGGTTATTTTGGTCAATTTTATTTTTTGTGATATTTTTATTAAGTGCGTGTTGATGAGAAGAATGGACGCATAAAATTTTAAGTTATTTGGATTTGTAGAAAATAAACAAAATTAAAATAAAAAAATGAGGTCGTGACCGTCAGATCGGCCTATATTCAATCTGGTCCGTTGATCTCATATCTTCATATGAACTAGTGGGCTAATCTCAATATTTTTCATAATATAATATAATATATAATATAATATATAATATTTTTATACCATATATGATACAAATAATATATAAATTACATATAATGTATATAATATGTATATTATATATATTATATATGTAATGTATATATTATATATATATATTATAACATATAGTACTATATTATATAATACAATTACATTAATAAAATAAATATAAATATATAATACATATAATAAAATATAATACGATACAAATTATATTATATATATAATTTATATTATTATGTATTTATTATAGTATATTATTATAGTATACTACATACATCATATTTTATTATATATTTATATAATATGTATAATATATTTATACATTATACTATAATATTATATATTTTCTCTAATGTTATATACTATAGTATAATATAAAATAGAATATATAAATACTATAGTATAATATAAAATAGAATATTACTTATATATTATATGTTAATTATTATTGTAATATAATTTATATATTACGTATATAATTCATATATAAATAAAATGTTGTAAAAATATATGGAAAATTGTTTCATACGGGCAGGACCGCATTTCTACATATGCGGTCTAGAAGTGTAAAGCATCTATCTTAAAGATAGATGCAAGTAGGTGGTCCATCTAAAAACCGTGGAAATTAGCAGTCCAAGTGTTTTCTTAATAAAACTATTATTTATGGCTTTTCAATTTTATTTAATTTTCATATTCATGATCTAAATGTTAGATAGTACATGTCCTTAAAAATTAAGTAAAAAAATCCATCTCAAAAATAGATTTTTAAAGGCACCGCATTTCTAAATGTGCGGGGTTGGCCCACCTCAATTGGTGTGGTTTTATTTTATACTGAATTAAACCATTTGATGGTAAAAACTTTTACCATGGTATTTTAATTGTATTTGCACGAACCAAACGTATGAAACACAATTTACGTATGTAAATATTTATCAGGAAATGTTTCACGCATGAACCAAACGTACCGTAATAGAATCTTTGGAATGTAAGATATCTATATATAAGGATATAATGGAAAGGAATAAGAAAAAAAATAAGGATTTCATCTTAATTAAGAAATAATATTGAAGTTTGGAATCAATGGGAGAAGTTAATCAGTATAACATTAAATGTAAGGTATTAATATAAAATCTATAATTAAATATATATAGATTCACATCTTCTCGACAATCCAAACAGTGGACATGCATATTCTATGTTTATTATCATTTGTTATCCGAACAGCAAACACCCCTATCTTAGGGACAGACCAATTACAGGATAAGCCTATTAATGGAACAGGATTCAAACGGGCCCTTAGATCTAGATCATTGTACACCTCCCCATTTGTTTCGAGTTAAGGTCATCGATGATAATCTCCAATATAGTATTGGCAAAGAGCATTATATGATTTTTTCACAATAAAATACCTCCCCGTTTGTTTTCGGGTTAAGGTCATCGATGATAATCTCCAATATAGTATTGGCAAAGAGCATTATATTAATTTTTCACAATAGAATTTCCTTTCTTCAAACACCTATGTCTAAGTAGATGAAAACCATAAGAGTGTGTACACCGTACTCCCTGTGGAGCAGTGGATTTCTTCCACTAGAAATATGGAATCTATATTAGTGTCACTAAATATATATATAAAAAATATAAAAGACTTGAATTCCGTAAATTGATTCCATGAAAATAAGGGGAAATTACGTAAAATTTGTTATACTTTTCATTATTATAAAAATACCTAAAACTTTATGTTGTTACAGATGTCCATTTTTTCAACTTCATAACACATTTTTTAAAAAAAGATGATTTCAAAAACCAAATTTTTTAAACATCAATATTATGTATGCTCAAATATTAAAACTTGCGGTTGAATAGATGTTTTGGGTATCAAGCATGCCTTTATACTATTACATGAAGGGTTTGAATCCACCAATGCCCTATCTAATTTTTTAAATAAAGAATGAATGCTTTTTATTTTAGAGCAATGACACTACGAGACCATCTCACATCCATGTGAGTAGGACCCCAAATGATCACCATTAAATTTTGATACGGATATTTAGAAAAGTTATGACATGGGTGTGAGACTTGGGTGAATGGGTTTATTGATAATTTTTCTAGAGATATTTATCAAAATTTAATGGTGATCCTTTAAGGTGCAATTCACATGGGTGTAGGAGGGTCTCGTAGTATCATTAATCTTTATTTTAGTAAAAAGCCAAAAAAAAAAGCTCCATCATGAAATGGACGTGGCTTTTTTGTTATGATGCATTCTTTACACTTGCATGTCAAGGGTTCAAGTCCCTTCATGCATGCTTTCACGTCAAGGGTTCAAGTCCTTCTATACGCAATGTAATTTTTTCAAGAAAAAATAAATGTCTTTTATTTTATTAAAAAACAAAAAAAAAAATCTCGACATGAAATGAGCAGGATTTGATACCAAAATCATACCAAAACCTTTTGAAAAAAATCATATGCTTTTACCAATACACTACTTAAATAAAAGTGATAAAAGTAGGTATCATATTATATGTATACCTTCTTCTTTTATTATTTATTTTATTATAGTGTTATGAAGTTGAAAAAATGGATATCTAGGTAATAACGGTCAGTTTCAAGTATTTTCGTAATAATAAGACCTACTTGTATCGATTTATTGCTTTTGAATTTTTGGGAACTACTAATAATCACTAGATTGTTATTTTTGGATGAAAAGTTTGAATTGCATGATTTTGACATAGATCTCGCCTTTCAAAAATTGGATGGTCTCCATTCAATCACATGACATTATCTTTTCTAGCGTATAGAAAGTTCAATTTAGAATTTTTTTTTTTTTACTAAGGTTAGCCTGCGGGTTGAAGAGGTTACACCCTAAATTCAAAGGTCCTAAGGTTACTTCTACATTGGGTTTTATCCTAGGGAGTAAATGGGCAGTATACTCCTATAGGAGTATAAAATCTTTTAACTTTATCTTAGTGTAGGATAGTATCATGTATGAAATGTCAATTTTAAATGGGTTATGTTAGGGTGTTCACATTATAGAGTAATTTATCATTGTACTCAATAAATACTAGACACATCTATACCCTTGTTTTGTACATGAATCATTCTTTTAATAAAGGTATTTTTTGTTATTAGGAGGAGTGTGACGTCATCCATATGGGGTACGACATCATTCTCCATGTGGGTGATATCACACCTCATGTAGATGTCATCACACCCCTCATAATGACAAAAAATACCCTTACAAAAAAAAATAGCTTTATATACAAAATAAGGGTATATAAGTGTCCTTTTGTTTTAAATACAATGTTAAATTACTCCATAATATGAGCACCTTAACATAACCCTAAAAATAGTCATTCTAACACATATATGTGTTAAACACTGACATGTATATCCATGTCTATGTAACATGCTTCAAAGTAATATTAAAACACATTTGTTTGGGAAAAGGGGTTGGATCCTAGTGGTAGTACCACACAACTTAATAATCATGTTGTGGTTTTCATTCCCGTTGATACCACCCCATTAACACCTTCAAAAAACTAACTCATAAACTATTTGAAAAACCAGATATTATGAAAAACCAGATAGGGACCGGTCTTCCCCGCTAACTTACCCAAAAAGAAAAAAAAATCACATTTGTGTTACTATTCCATTATTTAAATATAACTACGATGATATTCAATAACATTTCATGTAACCCCACGTTTTCCCATCTATTCTCTTATTTCACAATATTTTTGCGATCTTATATTGAAGTCTCTCAACGTATTTTGGAATCACTTTGCATCTTCATAGTTGCATAATTGTTGAACTCCTATACTTTTTATACATTACATGAAATCTCACAACCTTTATACCTACTTTCTTCATTATTTGATTATTGAGTTCTTCACTCAAGTTAGCCAAATCTTGAAAACCCTTGGAATGTGAATTGCTTTAAATTTAGCAAGCCAGTGGGTGGATCTTTCACCAAATGAAAAGATCATAGTATAAGATTGACAGTTCATATTGAATGATCAAACGATAAATAACCATTTGTTGTGTGTGGAATTTTTTTTTCTTTTTGAAATATAGGAGTCATACTCCAAACTTTGGAACAGTTAGGTTTCAACTTTCAACCAGGCACTCCAAATATTTATTTTTTAATTAAAAGTACATATACTAAAAATATGGGCTAAAAATATATACATTGTTATTGGCTATTCAAATCACTTATCCGCATCCAATATGAGCCAACCAGCCTATGCTACAATGTAAGACCATCCCACTTCATGTTTAGAAACTGGGATTGTTTACTATAAGACCATTTATTAATATATGGGGTCACAACTACTTTGACATTCTACATATTAACGTGTCACAATATTCGAAAAATTTTACTTAGAGCTTTGTGTCCAATCAATGGCATGTCCGTATCCACTTGATTTCTCATCTAATAGTCAATAATGATTTTGTTATCCTTATATTAAAAATAAATGGTCCAAGTGTTGCCGTTGTATACATTTCATTAAAAATTTGTATTATTGAATACCTAAACATTGACATGGTTAGCATATGTGAGGAGAGAGGCGCACAAAGAGCCCTCAACTCTACCAAAATGTTATGTCAATAACTTTACAAAAGAACATACAATTAAATCGAGATTCATTTGTTTACATGCAAAGCTGTTCACATCAACTCCAAACATAATATTTATTTATTTTGAAGTAAAATGAAAAAGAAAGAGAGAAAGACACATGCCCAAGCTTATTGGGGTGGTGGTGTTTCAATTGACTTTCCTTTCTCTCTCAACTTGGCCATGGATTCTTTCATTGCTTCTTTCCTCTTTTTGCTAGCAAGAACTTTGGCCATCACACCACTCACATTGGGATCATTCTTTGTGGTCTCCTCTTCAGGTGTGGGAGGCCTCCTTTTAGCTGCAAGTGCTTTTGACTCACCCACAAATGTGCCCAAAATTGCACTACTCAAGGCCAATGTGATGTCCCTGTGCAATATAAACAAATAGATTAAGAGAAAGCTCTCTCTCTCTCTCTCTCTCTCTCTCTATATATATATATATATATATATATATATAGATTAAGGAAAGGAAGAAGTTTATAAACTTTAAAACGTAGAATTAAGGTGTACCTATAAAATATTTCAGACAATATTGTTTTGGTGTTGGAAAAACATCTAATTGATCATCTCTATATGGAGAAAAGTAGATTTGAAAAAAGAAAGAAAGAAGAGATTTTAAGTCCTAAAAATAGTACATCTTGTAACACATTATCTGTATCTGGACCGTCCATTTTCAATATTTACATCGTTTATAAATATGTTTGAGTCGAACCATCTTTGAAGTTTGAAATTTTGTAATTAGAAATAAAAATACATTCTCACGGCATCCTAAGGAATTTTAACACTAAAATTGCATCTCATGACAAGATCTGGAGGTACATCTTAATTTGATTGTTTAAAGTTGCAACCTTATGCGAAGTTGCAAACCACACCCTTAATGAAAATATCTCTCATCTTAATAAATAGACCTTTCTCTCTCTCAACACGGTTAAAAACGTATTTTCAAAACTTCGGCATATAGAGTTCGATTGCTTATATTTCTGGTTATTTTGGGTTACTGATGCATATAAGATCTAAAAAATGCATTTGGGTTTCAAGATGCTTAACAGAAGTAAATGGTGTTGATGATGAAGACGAGGCTTCACCCTCTTAATTTAGCAGTCAAAAGCCATGAATATGTTCGTACGAAAGTATATATGAGTGGTTTAAAAATCGCCGAGTGGATTTGGAATCGCTAAAATTTGTTTAGAATCAAGAGTATGGTGATTCATCACTGGAGTCTCCAGAATTTTTCTTGTACTTCCAATTCTTATGCTAAAACTTCACCCATTCAAACTACGGACCCTTTGGCTCGGATTTCTAGCAAATCGGAGCCCGAGTTCGACTTTTTAAACTGTAGTTTATAGAATGCATACCCATATACAAAAAAGGTTTCTTTTTTTTAAAAAAAAAATGCTAATAATTTGAGTTGAGGTTAACTGTTAAGTTGGTTGGGGAAAAAAGAAAAATGATATTAATGTAGAATGTGCATGACTCATGAGTACAAAAGTGAAAGCACATTAGAGGGTTAAAAAATCATTTCAAATTTCAATAGTAAGAGATTGTTTAAGAAATAAACACTACCAAAAACAAATGTCACCAAGCCATGAAAGGAGAATGGAATATATGGAACATACATGCCTTCTAGAGATTGAAGGATCAATTGGGCCATCTTGTGAGCATTCAATCTTGGTCCTGTGAAACCCTAAAATTGGTGGTCTCCTTTGTCTCTCCAATGTGATTTGTGACAGTGTTGGTGATGATAGTGATAAAGCATGGGCCATGACTGTAAACCCTAGTTTCAAATTTGGAAGGTTTGTGGACATATAAAATTAAACGATTTTGAAGTTTGAATAGTGAGTGGTGTTTTTTTTATGGATGGATATGTTCTAATATGTGATGGAAAAGATTGCTTCCAATTGGTCAAGTAAGGATAAGGTTTCCTGTTTTTTTTATCCCAAAATTGGTACGAACATCAAAATTTCGTAGAATTTCCACAAAATTTCTCTGAATATCAGTGCCCTTGGGTCTCTCGTTCACTTTATGGGCTTGAACTCTCAATTTAACTTTGGGACGGTTTCTATGAGTCCTAAGACTCATATGTAGAAATGAGTCCCCTCTTAAAATTAATGTTTTAGATGGATTTTGGACCTAATTTTTTAGGAATATATAATCTCTAACATATAGATTATTTATATATAAATAAAAAAATTTAAACTAAAAATTATATATTCTTTGACATAGAGATCATTAATATATAAAGAAATAAATTAAAAATTAAAAATAATAATTTTATGATAATATTGATTTGTTTTTTTGAGGGGCCACCCATTTACATCCATCTTTAAAATGGACATGCGTCCCCGAGGCATATGCCAATTTCTTTTAACTTCTTCATAAAAGGGAGCTTATAATATTGGAATATACTGGTGGGCTTTCGGGCTAGGCCAGATTCTGATTGCATTTTGAGGCCGATGCGCTACGCTGGGCCTGAGCCTGATTTGATGGCCTAAAATATATTTAGGTCGGGCGCATACTAGCAACAACTTGGTCCTGCCCTAAATTTTTTTTAAGAATATAAGACAGGTGTTAAAGGAATCTCCTTATATACATAGGACCCACCTGGGTCGACCCTTTTTTTTTTGCTTTGCCTAGGCTGGGCTTGGGCCTCATTCTCTTGAACTCGATTTGGGCCCATCTTACATTGCTTCGACTTTGGGCCCCTGCCTCTTAGGAGGCATAGTATATTAGAAGAAAATTTACCTTGATACAAGGAGGTCACAGTCACCGAGATGTACAATATGGATATGGGAGCTTAAGGGTTGTTGACAGAGTTTCAAAAACGATTCTTTGAGATTTTGAGCATCATCCATGGCCAACTTCTATCCACCCGATTTCACATCCATTGGATCTCCTCATACCAAAAGTGAATAGTCTTATTATATACTTTTCATTTGCTATTTTAGTGTATAATGGGTTTGAGAACAATGATTTATGACCAAAATACCTTTGATTTATTTTGAATTAACCAATATTTTAAAATCTGAATCAATATGATGGGTCATTCACCCGCATATCTGTGCCGGATCGGTGATCTGGATCGATTCGAATTTGTGATTAAAAAAAAAATAAAAAAAATGAAACAAAAATTAAAAGTGATTTGTGGGGTGCTGATTTAAATGGCACCTAAAAAAACATTACATGAACTTAAAATAAAGGACAAAAGTATATATTACGAGGGTTTTAGGGGAAACCAGGCCAAGACGCATATGATCTTGAACCAATTTGGCCCAAGCTGATTGCCATCCAAATCGACGATCTCGATAAAAAATCGCTTACTTTTAAAACATTAGAATTTAAGTGAAAGTTTAAAAGCCATGTTGGAGAAAGAAATAGGGAAAAACTTAATGTGATCATGTGGGACCATGTCATTTTGGCCCGAACTTACACAGATCTCCATCAAACCACCAATTAGACAATCATTTAAAGGAAAATCCACACATTTTTGCATTTAATTGTGAAGTTCGAAAGTTTCCCATTTATAATAAAATGAATATTGTGCGTCACTTTAGAGAGAGAGAGAGGTGTTATTGTTGTGCGCGGAAGCTCTAAACTCAACGGGTTGATTTTTGGTAAATAACATATGAAAAAAAAATATGAAACGCATACCACAAGAATACAAATATTTATGTAGTTCACTACGAAGGGCTCTATCCACAGGTAAGACAAACTAAAATCTATTATACCAATGAAAGTTACATCATAGATTTTGGAAAAAACCTCGATAAAAATCCAGCCGAGTAAAACCTTTTTAGACCTACTCTCTCAAATGGCACTACTACTAATCTCTTAACTATATTTTGTAACTAGACCACTGTCTAGTAAGAGACAATAACTAGACCACTGTCAAAGAAGAGATATTTAAGAGAACTTTGAGAGCAAACGAGACTTAAGAAGAGAACTTTGAGAGTAAATGAGAATTTATCACACTAAAAGGGTACCCAAAATCTAAGAAAAGAAGATTGCGAGCAAACGAGATTTTATCTCACCAGAAGGGGAAGCACCCAAAATCTAATAAGAGAACTTTGAGAGCAAACCATACTTTAAAAGGGAAAGCACCCAAGATCTCTACGGGAACAACTTCTCCACAATAAACAAACATTTTGATCTCTAGGAACAAGCCTATCAATCTCCAGGAGTCTACTGCTCTACAAGAAACAAGCCTCTCAATATTCAGGAACACGCATATCAACTTTCAGGAGTCTGCTTCTCTACAAGAAACAAGCCTCTCAATATCCAAGAACAAGCCTATCAATCTATAGGAGTCTACTTCTTTACAAGGAACATGCCTCTCAATATTCAAGAACAAGCCTATCAGTCTCCAAGAGTCTACTTCTATACAAGAAACAAGCCTCTCAATATCTAAGAACAAGTCTGTCAATCTCCAGGAATCTGCATGAGGCACCAAGAAACTAAGAGTCTACAGGAGACACCAAGAAACAAGCCTCTCAATCTCCAAAAACAAGTCTATTAATATGCAAGAGTCTACTTCTCTACAAGAGAAGCCTCTCAGTACCTATCAATCTCCAGGAGTCTACAGGAGGCACCAAGAGACAAACATGCATATGAATCTCTAGGATTATACATAAGGCATCAAGAAACAAGTCTTCTCAATCTTTATGAACAAGCCTATCGATATCCAGGAGTCTACAGGAGGCACCATCACAATGTTTTTCTCCATGAGCTCTTATCTCTCCAAGATAAAACTTCTCCATAAGAAGCTCTTATCTCTCTAAGATGAAACTTTGTATCTTATGCACAGGAGGCCCTGCTCCCCTCTCTTTAGAGGAGCCACAATTCTCATATGTGACCCAAATAGGGCGTACCAATTCTCTGCACTTTCATTATATATATATATATATATATATATATATATATATA